TCATTTATATATATATATAAATATCTCTATATTTTTATAAAAAACACACACACACACACACACACACACACACACACACACACACACACACATATATATATATATATATATATATATATATATATATATATATATGCTTCATATATAACTATGTATATATAAAGCAACCTTTAATTTTCTTTTATAAAAAAAGTGCACTAAAACAAAAACATAAATAAATTATATACAATATTGGTTACTTTTACTCTTAGGGCTCTGTTTCCTCTCTAATAGCCTCTTCAGTTCCTCTTGCAGGCTTTCTATATGATTTAGGTCTTTGGGCTGAAAAAAACCCATTGAAGCCAAACAAACCATGGTTGGTTTGTGTTTGGTAAACCATCATCATCCTTTTTACAGATCCAATGATGACCCACATTCAGATTTTTACCAGTGCCCATCAGATTTTTATTTGACATCTCTTGGCATGATAAACATTAAAAAGATTCTCAGAAGCATCTGGGGGATAAACAGGCCCACAGCATGACAGATTCGCCACAATTCAGGCACTTTTTTACATTTTCATCCTGTGCTTAAAGCCGAAACCATGTGGAGTGTTACCAAAAACCTTACCCTAACACTCATCTGACCATAGTTAAACTTCCTGTACGTTTAGCAAGTTTTACTTTTATAGCTGTAGAACCAAAAGGGCTTTTTCCTGGCATGCCATCAAAACACGGTGAGCATGTTTACAGCACTCAATGATTGCTATGAAGACTTTTAGTGACTCTAAGCAGTCACTCTGTGCTGCATTTCTCCGTTGAAGGGTTTCTTTTACCTCTCTAACTATCTACTTCCTGTTTGTGGTGAAAGATAAATACAAGTCCTCATTCAGCTAGGTGCACAGTGGCAAAAAGAGAAAAGACTTCTGTGTGTGACACAGACAGTTATGAATTAACACATAGAAGCTCTCAGAAAATCTAATTAACTTTAAACTGTAAAGTATAATTAAGATAAAATTCCCTATGCACTTTAGAGATTGTTGGCAATGTCAAGATATTGTTTGAACATTCAAATTTATGTTTTTATTTCATTCAGTTTGAGATAATGTTGATGCTTTACCAAGGGCGACACCTTTTCTGTAATAGGAAATAAACTTATTGTACTGAATTGTGTGAACGTGACTGGGTTAGAGTTAATGCAGAAAAATAAACAATGTGTCACCACATCCATAGAAAAACAAATGACAGCATCATTTATGCTGTAAAATAATTTTTCTGAATGACATTTTCCTTTACAAAGAAAATAAAAATGTCAAATCAGTTTAAAATGTATCTTATGTATCTTTCTTTCTTTCTTTCGTTTTGTGTTCATTGGATCATTATTTATAATCACGTATCAAATAAATAAATATCCTGCCACTCAGTTGACAATGCGATACGTCGAGATGACGTCACTCGACGAAGCCCCGCCCCCTTATGCAAAACAAGCCGTGTCGTCGACGGAAGCCAGGCGCTGCGTCTCGTCTTCCGACAGATATTCCTTTAAAGGCGCATTTAAAGCCCTGGCTTCAGTCGTAGGAGCAGCGGACAGCCTGTGAAGCAACAACGTTCTGCCGCAGAGCCAGAGCAGCGACTGTCCGACCTCCCGGAGGACACAAACACCGAGCCAACTGGCTGTCAACGACCCGGCGAGGTGAGCGCAGTGTCCGGTTAAAAACAGCAACAACAACAACAACAGTGGTGGGGGACGGATTTTGCCGTCCCCCACCACCAGCAGCAGCTGCTGCTCCTGGTTGGCTCTGAGAGCCAGGATACTCAGCATCTCAGGTTGCTGCTGAAAAGGAGGAGGAAGAGGAAGAAGAAGAAGAGAGGCATTTACATTACTTTACAGGATATATCAGGTTGCATTAATTTCTCCTGCGCTCATTAGGAAATGTGCATTATTAGAATTTGAGATTAGCAGTGATTGTTGTTGCAGTTTGCGCAAATGTTTCGTTCATTTCTCTGCAGCTTCTTTTGTTATTAACCAGGAAGGAGCGGCTGAACGCACCAGAAGCAGTGTGAGGATTAAGACTCGTGTCTGTATTTGCTTTAAAGGTGTGATATCCCACATGACTAGATGTAATTTTATCTATTTAAGATCTGAGAAGATCGACACTTTTTGGACACTTTAGCTGAAACTCCGTCCTTCAGATTTTAAATTCGGCTCAGCAGTCTTTAATAAGGATCGCTTTCAGTTTGTTTTCCTCTGGGCATAAGAGGAAACTCCAAACTTTTATTATAAGAACATTCTGCTCACTGGTTTGTGTTGACATTTGTTGTACTTTCTATTAGATGTATTCAAAAAAATATGCAAATTGTGCCTTGCAAAAGTAACCCTTTCTGTTTGTTGTATTTGTCTCTTTCCAAACACTAACCGTATTGTTTTATGTGATGCACCAAATGCATTATTGTAAAGTTGAAGAAACGTGATAGATGTTTTTTCTCCTGAGAATCTTTTGGTGTGCATCTCTACCAACGTCTTTCATCTAGTCACCCATTCGTATTTACAAAACAAGTTGAATTGAGAGTCTGTGTAAAACACCAATTTCCAAGTCTGGTTGCATATTCTAAGTTGGATATAGTTCTGGACTTTGACTAGGCCAGTGTAACACTTAGCTATGCTTTAATTTAAATCGTTCCATCATGTCTCTGGCTGTGTGTTTGGGGTTGTTGTGCTGTTAGAAAGCGACTCTGTACTCTACTCAACTATTTTCTAACAGGTTTTTTCCCAGGATCAGCCTGTGTTTAGCTCCATCCACCTTCCCATCAACTCTGAACAGCTTGTCCCTGCGGCATGATGCTGCCAGCACCGTGTTTAACCATGGGGAACCATGTCATACATAGCCTTTTATTCTTCCCTTGAATACAAAAGCATGGCACACTTTTCCGAATTTTATTTAAAAAATGCTCCAAACCCATCCAGATTTAATTTTCTTTTCCTAGTAAAATTTATGCTCAACTTTCTGTTGTTTTGTCTAAAACGACAACTTAAGATGCTTAAGATGCTTAAGGTGCAGCAAAACCTTTTGCAAGGCGCCTTCTGCACATAAATTTGAATCCGAATCCCGCTGCGAGGAACCGGAGAAGCAAAACATGAATAATTTCTTTTGCGTGAGAGAGTGTGTGTGCGTGTGTGTGCGTGTGTGTGTGTGTTTGCTGCTGCATTGATTTAATGTGCAGTAAAAGCTGAAATAGTGCTGCTCTGTACACACTGTGTGCTGATTTGTTAAGTCTCACCTCTTCGGTGTCTGTTTGTGTTCTTGGTTCAGACTCGACTGCCCGGCTTCACGTTAACGGCCAGGACCAAAGGAACAACGTCTCGGGGACATTTATGAAGCTTTCGATGCCTTTTGGTGAGTCTCTTCTGGATGATCTACTTCTATGATTAACAAGTCAGTTTTGTAAACCAGACCAACAGTGCAATAAGAGCTTCCCTGTATTGGGTCATAACCTTTGGTTTTTGGAGTCACCTGACTGGTTTTGCAGAAAAGAACCAAAAACACGCTGCCTCTGAGGAAACTCCTTCCTTCTAAATCTGTCAGGCTCTTCGTTTCATTTTGTTTGCGTTGCAGTTTAGGTTTTGCTTTGTGTGCGCGCGCGTGTGTATGTGTGTGTTGGCGAGCAGCCGGCTTATGCTGAAGTGAAAGCAGTCGACTTCCTCTTGATGAAGTCTTTGCTGACTGTTGACGGCTGCTGTGTCAGCATCAGGTTATTACCAGCTCATAAGATGCATGCAGACGCATATAGTCACAAGCTGAGAATGTCACATGAGCACACAATACGTCTGTATGTAATGTGGGCACACACCCACACTGACCTTTATAAGTCAGACAAATCAATATTTGACAGTGAAGATGCAGGACCAGGGTATTTTTGCATAAATAAAGCCAGATTTGTAGACTAGTCGGCTTCTTTTCATCTCCTGCCATAATATCCAGACTTGTGAATCCCTGATTTACTTGTTATTTCAGATCCACTCAACAGGTGAACCCAGATATTTCAGTAGAGAAACACAAGGCTTTGCGGTGTGTTTTTGAGTTTACAATGACCCGTTCAAAATATATTATTCATACTGAAGTGTCTGCAGTCGAGGTCATTGCACTCGCTGTGACTCTAGATCTGTTTCTGCATCACGAGAAAAGTTTTTGGGTCAGCTTAGTCAGCTGTCGGGTTCCTCAAAAACCGACAAGTGCTGTAATGGGAAAATTTTTCTCTGGTGAAGAACTTTTATGTGTTAGTGTTGCACGTACAGCATTACCTATGCTTACATTTTTGTTGTTGTGGTTTCAAACAACTCACCTACATTAAATCTAAAGTTATGCAGACAATAACAAAGGGTTAAAATAATGAACATTGCTTTTGAAAAATTCTGAAACTGTTTTTTTTTTTCATGAAATAAAGATAATTGGTTTTTGACTTTGAAATAGCTTTTATTTAATGTCTTACTGAGTGTAAATATCAAAATATCACCACTAATTTTTTAAAAAGTAGATAAAACCGTTGTTTCTCCCTCCCACAATAAACAAAATGCTCTTTAAGACGAACTACCATTGCATTGACTCAAGTGTTGCTCTGACTTGATGGGCCTGACATTCTCACAGTCTGACCTCGAGTAAAAATCACTGACTTAGACAACCAACAGTCTAAGGGTTCAGGAAGATAAAGGTGCATTCAAAACTATTTGGAAATAACCAGATCTCCTCTTAATCTTAAAACGGGACTCAAAACAAGCATTAGAGTTACAGTAGTTTAACAAGATTTCGTTTTGTTGGGTTGTTTGCTCTGGTGCCCAGCCTACAATCAGCTGCTTTACAGATGTGGCTGCAGTTTTAAAACGGCTCTGCGTAAATGAAAGCGATGGGTGTTTTTGCTACCAGTGTGTTTCAACAGCTGGTCTTTTTTATTATCTCATAAAATACTGCAGACTATGGTAATGAAATACAGCCAAGATTTTTTTGCATCAATAACTTCTTGCTAACCAGGTGAAGTAAAACGAATACAGGAAGTCTGTGATTAAAATCAAATGTGGTTCTTTCATATGACCCCTGTTCAGATGTAATTTGAGGTTTTAGTCTTCGCTTCCTTTTTTCAAGCCATTCTTTTATTTATTTATTTTTTTTTGTCTTTCTCTTTCCAACACACTCGGACACGGGATCAGTTTTGTTCTGTTTTTTTGTTTTTAATCCCGAGCTCTGATCCTTTGTGTACGTAACCCCAATCCCGTCTCCTGTGTGGTTCTGGAGCTCAGGTCTGAAGAAACAGGAGGACGAGAAATGAGTCGTCACATTATGAGCCAGTGGTTGTTTTTTTTTTCTCACTTACAGCAGGGCCGTCAGTAACCTCCTCCTTATCTCACTAGATCTGCTGCGCACACACACACACACACACACACACACACACACACACTGTAGTTATAAAGACGTTTCACATGGTTGACTTCCCCTTCTCTCTGCATTTTGAGTTAATTTTCTGTCTTTTCTTTATCTTTTTGTGACTCTTCCTTATTTATCTTCTGTTCTCATTCATCAAGCATCTAATAGCTTTTTCTAATGCTTTGTTTTGTTCCAGGTCTTTTAACCTCATCACTTGCAGTCATATTCCTGCAACATTTCTGCTGTCAAAGTGACACAGTTTAGTTTTCCATCTATAATGATTGTTGTTGACTCAGTTACTTCAGGCATCTCAGCAGTTTTGATCTTATGATTTCAGTCTTCTTGAGGAGATCTTGTTGTTTGACACTTTGAATTGGATTTAAAGTTTTCTTTTTGATTAAAGTGTTCAGTTTTAATGTACATAAATGGAGCCATACAGTGTGTTAAAGGTGCGGTACGTGTTGCACTTAAAGCACAGATGTTGTTCTGTGTAAGTAGGGATATTTGCCACTAAGGCCAAAAATCTCAACAAACAACAAATAAAAACAATCAAATGTGCTGAATATTGAAAAATTAGACAAAAGGTCAGCTGTGAACCTCAAAGTTTTGCTGAAAAACACCAGACACCACATGATCATGGTGTTTCCACTGTGCTGAAACATTGTAAACCTTACATGCATTTCTTTTTTTTTTCTTTTTCTTTTTCGAAATTTGGATTTACAAAGCTTGCATTACTGTGAGAGCTGGAGAAAATTCAGGCAAGAATAATGGATTTAGCATTTGGATATTTTTTAAGCCACTGTCACAATGTCTTTTCTTGCGAAACTAAGATAATTTTTTACATTCACTTGAATTCACAGCATAAGATCAGAGGTTAACATGTCTCACTATAGCAGGATTTGCCTGGGATTTGCATCCATTAGCTGAAGCCATTTTTTGCAGAGAGAATTAAATAATGTCATTGTACGACGGTATCAGACTTTTCAAAAGTTTTAGTTTTTTCAGAATTGGTAAAAACACAACTGTCAGCTCCTAGAATGACAAAACCGAACAATTAAAGGGCTGCAGAAATGATGAAAGTCGAAGACGCTTTTATTATTTGTCCACTTTCCTCCAATGCCAAAGGCAAAGCAGGGACAAACAAGATAAAAAGCTTATTCAAATTTGTCCTGACTGCTTTTTGTTCGGCTCTGCAGCCACAGGTATAAACGTATTGCTGTCTCTGCGTTTATTATCAAATCTAAAGTTTCTCTCCTCAAACTTTCGTCAAAGTCGTTTTGTCTCCGTCCTGTTGGGTCGTTTCCAATATAATTTTCAGTGACTCATCCTCACAAGATGTTCATCCAATGACCAAGTGAATCCCACTTTCTGATTAAATGGCTACAAAGAAACCTGTCTGGATGCCAGCGATGTCTGGCATCGTGTGTTTGTTGGTGTGTGTTGGTGTGATGCGTCGTGCCTCTCTTTAGTTCATTTAGGGGGAAGCGCACACACACACACACACACACACCACACGCTCCGCTTACACTTATCTCTCCACTGTTTGCCGTCACAGTTAAAGTTTACCTTTGCGGCAGTTGCCATATGTTCTGTGAGATATGGAGACATTTCTCCGCCACATGTTCAAGTCAGTTATTTGCTTGATAATTCTGATCAACTTGTTCTTACCTTTGAGATCATGGATGTTTTTCTTTCACTTTTGCACATTTTTGACATAAGTACACAAATCTGTCACCTAAAAAAAAAATGGCCTCACCTAGAATGTTTTCATATTCTGTAAAACGACACGTTTGATTTGGATTGTTCTCAGTTACAAAAACAAGGAGAGCGCGTTTCCAATTTTGAGAACATGAGAGTTTTCACTTAAAAACCAAACAGTGCGCTGATTGTTTGCGTTCTGCATGTGAACAGAGTTTCTACAGACGACACCGTCTGAATGGGCCCGCTCTCTGTGAAAGGGGGAAAAATAAAAAAAAAAAAGAGGGGAGAAGATACCCGGCCGAGTGCCAGTAATGTCATTAACACTGTAATGAGACGCTCGGAGTGATAGCCGCTCTCTCGCTCGGTTTTCTTTAACAGGACATTCTTTCTCATGCTTCCTCAAATTAAATTTGATCCGTGTCAGTGATGGAGTTCATATCCGTACAAAATCGTGTTGGATGAACGCGAACTGGGAAGCGATAAAACGCAACTTCGTAGCTCTTTACTATAGAATTTTGCAGTCATTTACAATAAAATGTATTTATTATTGAGTGCTGAAACAAACTGAAATGACTTACTAAATATGTCATTTCTGATTAAATATACAGCTAAACTCTATAAAAATGATAATAACATTATTTTCTTTCTTGAAAGATTAAACTTTCTCCTGTTTTATGTCGGGTATTTTAAAAAAAATATTTCCATTTGTAAAAATATCATAAAAAAATGCTAAGATTACTAGAGCTTTACGCAATTAAGAAATACTTAAAGGCCTAAAACATCTGATTAATTTACAATATTTGAATTAAATTGAGACTCACCTGTGGTTGTATTTAAAGGCAGCACTTTGAAAATGGTGCTTCCTTGTATAACACCGTGGGACAATTATAAAAAATAAATGAAATGTATGTTTTTAATGTTCAGTGCTTAAGTAGATGGACAATTATGGTGTGAAATGATGATATCTCCTGCAGCGCAAAGGAAAATATGCTGCAAAGATGCTGCGAGAAACTGGTCAGAGTGTCATCATCCACAGTGTGACGAGGCCAATCAGTGAGGAAGAAGCAATGTCTCCATAATTTACACAAAATCAGATTACAGTTTGCAAATGCTATGGAAAAATTTTTTTGAGAAGAGCTGGAAGTGTGTGTGAGGGCGAAAGAAACCGGACTCGATTGCTCTGGTTCTGTCTGGAGGAATGAGCTAAAAATCCCAGAAAACTACAAAAGCTTTAATTCAACTCATATCTACCAAACACTAAGAAAAAGTATGCAGACGTC